CTCGTGCCAGCCTTTTGCGAACTTGTAGGTTGTCGGACTGTTGCCTCTATACCCCGTTGCCACCGTCATAGGCGTCAACGACTGCTGCCCCGTCACCAACTCGAATGGGCTCGTGTTGGTCAACTCGCCTCGGTGTAAGTTGTAGGAGAACTATGTCGTATCCATCAACTTCACCCAATCTCGCTAGTTTGCACTGACGTAGTGCCGCAAGTACACCTCCAGCAATGCATTCAACCACTCCGTCCGTCTGTCGCTTTGCGGATGAAATATCGTCGAGAAGTTCAAGTCGGAGCCCATGATCTTGAACAACTCTCGCCAAAATCAGCTCGTGAAGCTTCCATCTCTGTCGATCACGATGTTGCTAGGGATGCCCCCAATACTTGACCACGTTCTTGAATAATAGTCGTGTCGCATCCTCTGTCGTCATGTCTGTTGGCCAAGGGATGAAGACTCCATACTTCGAGAACCTGTCCACCACGACCATGATGCACCCGCATTCGTCGACTTTGGGAAGGCCGACGATGAAGTCCATGCTCACACTTGATAGACCAATAATTACACATGTTTTTACCCCTATTCTTGAGCCGTTTGAGAGGTTGACTCTCGTGTTTAAGGCAATTTCACGCGAGGTTGTGTGTTTATGTCATATTTCAGGACCTGGCGTTGGAATCGAGGCGAGGGAACGAGTTCTGGGTCAAAAGGAGCAAAGTTGGGAAGAAGTGGGCTGCAGGAGGAAAATACCCGGTCATATGGCAAAATACCCGACCGGGTATTTATCATTTTGGGCACCCGTGAGAAACAGAGGGGGGCCCGGTCGTGAAGCTTAAATCCCCGACCGGGGATTATTGGAGCAGACCGGGGATTTTCCCCTGGCATGAAACGTGCGTTTTGATAATACCCGGTCGAGACCCAAAATACCCGACCGGGTATTTCGACCGGGTATAGCGACAGACAGCTGTTTTAAGGGAAAAGAGGGCTGAAAATCAAGGGATTCGAGTTTTAGAGAGACAGAGCGATTCCTAGAGAGAGAAAGCGACGAACATGAGTCTCCAAGTGCCCTAGCTTGATCTTCATCACCATTGGAGTTTGGCTTGAGCTTGGAGAAGTGCCGATCAACGTCCAGAAGCAGGAATCCATCCTTCACAGTATGAATTCCGCGTCTGATTCTGCTTTTGCTTCTTTCTCCATGGAGTAGTTCTCCCATTCATCTGGGTATGGAGAACCCTAGATTTGTATGTTAGGCTTTGATTGTATGAACCCAAGTACTGATTCTATGATTTGATTATATTCGATTGAGGTTTGAATGATTGAATGACTTGAATCCTGATCAAATTCCTGTTGTTTCTACTTTAACCTAGAATGAGAATATCTGCCTAGGTTGATAGAGCATCTTTGATTGAAGGTAGGGAGTTGGTGACTTTAGTCGAGGAGCCAACTCACTATTCTGTACCGGATTTACTCCGATAGTGGAGGTTTTGTTTGTTAAGACCTCAATCTGTTTACTCCGGTGGAGGTTAGTCGCCCGCTAGAGACTCAGATTGAGAGGGTCTGAAGACCTTTAGTCGGGACTTCAGGCTGTCTAAGAACCTTCCGCAGTATAACTATCATAGAAACTGAACTTGGTAATTACAATCCGGCTTAACTGCAGTCTAGGGGGAACCATATCCGGGTGACCTCTCTTAACCTGAATACAACAGTTTACTTGCTTTGTTAGTTTGTTAGTTTAAACCTGCATTAAAGTTTCATTGCTAGATACCAAGAATTCACTTAGTAGTCATCAAATCTAGGACCCGGGTTGATAATTAAACCTAAACCCGCTATACTACGCTTTAGGAAGTGGTTCCACTTGGCCAATTCCTAGGGTGACAGTAGAAGTGAGTCAACACTCTCCCATGGTCGTTGAGGAGTGGGCAAAGGCGCTAGCAAGCCTGTTGGGCTTCTCTGCTCCATCTTGTCTTGTTGGCACACAAGACAAGTCTTCACATACATCTCCACGTTGTTTCTCATATGCGACCAGAAGTATGCTTCTTCGATGAGCGCTTGCGTCCTCTCGATGTCGGGGTTGCCCGCCCACTTGGAATCATGACACTCCTTCATGATCTCCTTCCTCAAGTTGGCCCACCTTGGCACTAACACACGCTCCCCCTTGGTCATGATGAGTCCATCCTTCATCCAAAACCATCGAGTCTTACCTTGCTCGATGTACTCCGCTACGGTTTTGACGAAGGGGTCATGGCCAAGGCTTTCGACGATCCGCTCTTTCAAAGGAAACACGGGTTGCTGATGCTTGCGGCTGCACTGTTGCGAATAAGAGCATCGGCAAAAGAGTTCGCCTTCCCGATATTGTACTCCATGACGAATTCGAACTCAGCCAGAAAATCTTGCCACCGCGGTTGCTTGGGGACGAGCTTCTTCTGCGTCATAAAGTAGCTTGTTGCCACGTTGTTCGTCTTCACTACGAACTTTGACCCCAACAAGTAGTGCCTCCATGTGCGCAAGTAATGCACCACGACCGTCATCTCCTTTTCTTGGACGGTGTATCGCCTCTCCGTCTTGTTGAGCTTCCGACTCTCGAAGGCAATGGGATGCCCCTCTTGCATCAACACACCACCAATCACGAAGTCGGATGCATCGGTCTGCACTTCGTAGGGCAACGTCAGGTTGGGGAGCACGAGCACGAGCTCCTTCATCACCGTTGCCTTCAAGGTCTCGAATGCTTCTTGGCACCGATCCAACCAGTCCCAGACCTTGTTCTTCTTCAAAAGATCTGTCAAGGGTGCTGCAATGTTGGAGTAGGCGAGTAGCCCTTGATAAACCTCATATATTAGTTGGCTAGGCCGAGGAAGGACCGCAACTCTGGCACCTTCGTAGGTGGCTCACATTCTTGGATTGCATCCACCTTCGCCCCATCCATCCTCAATTTGACTCCACCGATGATGTGCCCCGAGAATGGAACCTCTGTGGAGGCAAAAGTGCACTTCTCCCTCTTGACATATAGCTCGTTGTCGCTAAGGACTTGGAAGACTTGGTGTAGGTGCTCCACATTGCTTTAATGCGTCCTTTACGTGCTATGACATTGAATATCGCTATTTCGTAGATTAAAACAAATCACAGCATAGAGCGCGGGCTATAAGATCTAAAAATTATAACACGGTTAACTTTCATATGTTTATGGTTTCGAAATTATAAATTATTGTTTCATTGTTATACACATTATGAACCATATAGACAGTGTGGAGACTAGAACTCCTAACTTACATAAGTCTATAAAAATTAGGTCTGAGTATTTTGTATATTAGCGGCTTAAATTGAATTCAAAGAAATATAAAAATGACATATACATTAATAATGAGGTGACTAATCGGATAATTTGACCCAATTGACGCAATAATAATAAATAAGATGATATATTGATAGGTGTGATTTTAAGAACTCTAAGAAGAAAAACTGATACTAAGATTCCTTTTAAGTCAAAGACTTGGGATGTCAGTATACTTGCTTTTGTTTTGCTTTGTTGTTTTTCTTGCTTATTAATTTCAATTGAGATAGAAATGAGATCATATCGAAACATAAGCAAATGGGGAAGGGTCATTCTTCCTGGACGCGATGGAGAAAAGGGTCCAACAACGCTCTAGATGTTCATGTTAATACACAAGTAGGCAATACCAAAGATTTATCGGGAGAGGACATGGTCTTGCTTTCCTAGCGGTATTACTGTCTGTCATGATATGTGAAAGTTGGTGATGGATTAAAATATTTTTAGTATTGGACCTATATATTACCAGCTCGCTAGAAATTGAAAAATTAATAAACTGTTCACCTTGGACCTATGTAGTTAATTCATAAATAATTAATTATATTTATTATAGCATAGCCTCTATTTTATATAACATTTTTCTCCCAAATTATCAATGAATTTTTTTATGTTAAATATTTTTCTTTGAAATGTATACTCTCATGAACATATCCATCCTGTTTTGCACACAAACTAAAATACTCAACTTGCCATTGTATGGTTTTGAGAGATTGAGAATTTTGGGCGGTAAAACGGATACATAATATGATAGTATATAAAACAAATAAAAAATTTACCTGCCAACGGTCCGGGTGAAAATATACATAAGATTGCTTGATCACATTCCGTGCCATACTTATACCAACAACAACCTTATATTAATCTCATCCGGCCAACGGGCTGGTCATTATGCTAGTTTGGAAACATGATTATTCAATCTTCGATAGTAGTTTGCGTATAAGCAAAAAAATATTTAAGTGGTAGTGGAACACCCTTTAAATTGGAGAAAATAATTATCCAACCTCCCGTAGTAGTTTGCATATTGGTACAAATAATATTTAAGTAGTAGACTATGTGATTTAAACTTGGGACACTGCCTTTATTAGTAAACCTGTTTTCAATTACACTACAACTCATTTGTTATTGTATTTTAGATCCAAATATAATAGTAAACTGTTATTCTTATTTTTCAAAACATAACAATTGAACCTAATTAACGGATACCCTTGTCTAATAGGATATGTCGAGAGATATTTGTTGAGCAATATAGACACCGGATGTATTTTACCATTTTACGAAACACGTATGCACTTTTAATGCAACTTTTATTAGTCAGATATTTCATATTTAATCATTATTTAATTTAATTATAATATTTAATCAAATTTAATTTTTGGGAGAGGACACCTCTATGTAGAATTCTTGGATCCGCCGCTAATCACGCAAGCTTTTAATTATACCCCTAGCTTGTTTCTTTTCTTGAGACAAATTTGTTTTGTTTGATTTTTATCCTTCTTGTTTGGGACGAGATTGTCAGATTCACAACCCACTTCATAGCCCTTGGATACGCTCTCTCTCTTGTCTCTTTCTTCTTCTTTTTTAAATTAACGGTTAAGAATAAAGGAATGATATTTTTGGAAGGGTAAAAATTTACCACACCCAATCATTCACCCTACCATATAAAAAGAACAAAAACCCTAACTCCTCCATCCTCCCTCTCTCTCTCCTCCCTCTCTCCCGTAGACATCACCGTCTCTCCTCCCCCTCTCTCCGCCGCCACAGCCCTCCCACCACCGCAGCTCCCTCTTCCTCTCCCATGCCCACCGCCACCCCTGACCTCCGCCGCGCCGGCTGTCCTCACCGCCCTGCCGCGCCTATTGTCCCCGCCGCCCTGCCGTGCAGCTGTCCCCGCCTCTCCTGCCGCGATACGCTGCCCATAAACTCACCGTCGTGCCACGCTGACCCCACCACGATTTTTATGTCGCCGCCGCCGCGAGGTCAAGACTCTTCCCTGCCTTCCTCTTTCCTCATCCCTATTTTTTTCGAGATCTGATTTTTTGTTTTAGTCTCTGCTGGTACCAATACCACTGGTAGCGCTATTGGTACGCTACCACTACTCACTAGTACCAATACCAGTGGCTCCCCTATCATCTGGTACCACTATCATCTGTTTTTTTTTTTGTGTGTGTTATTCTCTACTGGTACCGCTACCAATGCTAGTGGTAGCGCTACCAGTGCTAGTAGCGTTGTGTTATTCTCTACTGGTACCGCTACCAATATGGTAGTGGTAGCGTTGTACTGGTAGCGTACCACTAGTACTGGTACATTTTTTACTGGTACCGCTAGCACTGGTACATTTTTTACTGGTACCGCTAGTACTGGTACATTTTTTAACATACTGGTAGCGTACCACTAGCACTGGTATATTAATTACCAGTAGACTAATAGATTGGTACACTTTTTAACGCACTCGTACATTTTTTCAGGTTGCCGGGGGGAGTCTGCCGCAGAGAATTCGCCGGAGAAAAAGTTTGTCGGTCAATGCGGAGTGGCCGCTGGAGAAAGGAAGAGAGAGAGAGATAGATAGAGATATTAATGTATAGGATTTAAATTTAAAAAAAAAATTGTATTTAATATGGGTTTTTAATTCCCAATATAATTAATATAAAAGAGGTAATTAATATATTCTTTTTTTCATACCCAAAATACCCTTGATTGTGAATCTGAGGGGTTGTCACCGTATCCCGTCTCTTCTTGTTTGCTTTGGGAGTTGGGACTAATGTATATTATTATCTTCATAAATTATCATGCAGGTATAGAAGAAGACATTCTATTATTTGGATTATGCATTAAATTCTTCTCAAAATGTTGATTCCTCTAGTCATTTGCAGATACATCACATTTTTATATATGTACGCATAACATTCATATGTTTGAACTATGATTCAAAAAATTAGGCAAAATACATTTGTATAGCCAAAACTTTCGCGTTTGTGTCAATAATAGCCATATTTGAAAAAATACCACTTATAGCCAGAATTTTGAAAGTTCCATGACAAATATAGTCATTTCCGTTACATACTTTAACGGTGTTAAAATTTCCGTAAGTTAGGTTAACATTATGTTGAATAGGATGCCACCTCAACGCACACATCAACGACAACTCGACCAAACTTGACACATAGACGCATGTCATAATTAAATTAAATTTTTTTTTTCTTTTATATCATAATCCCAAAGGTTTTGAAAAAAACAAAAAACAAAATCCTAAAAAATTCACGACCATACATCCGGCCGAGGACCATACCGGATTTCATCTACCCGACCACCGATGAACTCGGCTCCAGATTCGGCTCTTCTTCCCCATTTAGAGTTCTACTCCCTTGGTGCCTCTTCTTCCCCTATTGCCCCGCCGCTGCTGTGAATCAACACTCTTCTTCGTCATTGTGTGAACAACCAGATCCCTTGGGAGGTCTGATTCCTCCTCCTTCAAGCTCTCTGCATCTCTCACAAGATCAATGGCTCGGTTCCTTCTCTTCCCTTTCCTCCTCACCCTCCTCTTCTCCATTTCCTTCGCCGAGATCCGCTTCTCGTAGCTTAACGTCTCCAAGATCCAACGACACCAGTAGTGAGAAAGACGGATCTGGAAACTTTCATGTCTTTGAGGTTCGAGACTCATGAACCCAAGGTCAGATTCACGCAAAGCATTAAAATCACCGTCAGCAGCAATGAAACAGGTGAAGAAGTGAAGAAGAGAGATATGGCCCAACGGGATTGACGCGACAGCCATCGAACCCTTAATGAATTTAGATCTGCCATCGATTCCGAATTGGAAAACTCAAACCATTTGAAGCTATCATGGCAATTCGTCGCTCCCTGATTTTTGAATCCCTCAGCTACCTAGTTTAATCCATGTCAAGGAATTTGGATTGGATGAATCTCTTTGCATCCGATTACCAACCCCTATTTCAATAACGACGTGGTCTTCTTCCTCGCATCATCTTCTTCCTCAACGTGAGACCTAGAAAATGGAGATGGAGTACAATTTTTTGGGGATAAGTGGTTTGGGAATGATTTTGGTTCTGGCTGGTGAAATCATATGGTGAAAACGAAGGCTGGACAAAAGGTTGAGGAGGAGGCCAGGAGGGATGAGGTAGAGGTGGTGGCTACCGACGGTGGAGGTGGGGAGAAAGGCGATGAGAGAGAGGGAAGGATGGGAAGATATAAGGTTTTTTGTTTTTTTTTTAATTTATTTTTGGCTTTTCTCATTCATCTACGTGGATGAAATGTCGTCAAGTCAGCTTTTTCGTTAGTCTGTTAGTTGATACCGTTAAAGTATTGGACGGAAGTGGTTATAAGTGGTATTTCGTCAATTTTGGCTATTATTGGTACAAACACGAAAGTTTTGACTATATAAGTGTATTTTGCCAAAAAAATTATAACACATTGTTATCTCTGATATAGGTAAATAATGATGATTCACCTGCTCTTGTTAGAGAACAAAGATCTGAACAAAATTCTTCAACTGCTGCAATTGGTCACGAGTCTCAAGTAAAAAATAATTGATGAGAATCATGTTAGTTACAAGTTTATCAGTGTTATTTCGATTGCATTTAAAATCTCAATATTTTGAATTGTAGGGACTAGAATTTGTTATGATAAAGAGTTTGCTAAGTCCCGGCGTTGATGTAGCATATGCTAATATCCTAACAAAAGATCCAAAGGGCCGTCTGGCCGGGCAAAAGTTGGGTCATGGTTTTTATGAAGTATTCGTTCAAATCCCGATTCATAGTGACGAACCTTGAATACAATCATATGGGAGCTATCAAACGATTGGAGATGTGACAGTATTGCTTGGTCATCTTCCTTAGTAAGTGAACTGTATTGTGTTAATCTCTTAGTAAAGTGTTTTATGAGAAATAATCATTAATTTACCTCTTTTTTTTGTGCAAACATCAACATTACAGTTTTGTACCTATGAATTCAACAATTCATCGTTTATTATACTCTTGCTAGGTAGCAAAGAGGGCATTGTACATATGAAACAATGATCATACTGAAATCTATTGGACAAAACCGCAAAGTCATACTGCCAAACATTTTTCCTGCCTTGGAGAACAATAGACGAGCCACTGGAAGCCAGTGGTCCAGACTCCAGATTTTGACAATTAACGTGTACAATTTTTCTATAGATATCAACCCTGAGCTTTGAGTAATTAAATCAAAAGGTAATGCATACTCTTGGTAAGAAAGACAATCTAAACTTTGAATTAATTATCATATCTAACCCTTTACGAGTGAACTATAGGTCTTAACTATTTAAATCATAGACCCTAAACGAAAGATTGTAAAATCTTATCATAGGTTGTATCGAAAAAGTCAGTGGTAGGATATTTTAGATTGAAACTTTGGTTAAATCGTGGTTCAACAATTTCATACTACTAAACAGCGCCTACCGGCTTAGCATCCGGTAGGAGGTTTTCCTGTCAAACCCAGTACGGTAAGGGTTTGCAATCCTTGCCCTAAACTACAAGATGATGCACATAATTTGTTGGATGTACTTCGACGAAATATGACCCTCGATTATTATTTCTAATTAAATTGATCTTAGTATATGAGATTCATAGCATTAGGATCTAGATTTTAATCTTTACGAGTTTAGGATATAGTAACACGTATCAATCTCCGATCAATTTAAAGTATAGATATATATTTTTTACTGTGAGCATGTCATTCAATGTCTTTGTATCATTTTCCATATGTCATTGATAGAACCACCCATACTTATAATTGTGTTTATCCTGTCAGAGAGTCATTTGTTCTAAATGATAGCTGGTTGGACTCCAATTTTATCAGAGTTTTATGTCGTTTCAAACATTTTGAACTTCATTAGTCGAATATTTTGAGTACTCCTATATTATTTAGGTATAATATCCTATTTTGGAGTGAACTTTGACATAAATAACATTTTTGGCATGAACATGCAAATAAGATAGTTTTGTCTGAGTTTTGAAAGAAATGAATAAATTGGACCCAAATTTGGGTTACCCATTAATATTGACGTTCAAGCATTTGTTTTGTCTATGACTCAACGTACAATGCTAAGGTGGTTGCGACGTGATTTTCATGTCACAGTAATAATACGCTATTTTGGATGAACTTTAACGTAAAAAAACAATTTTGGTCTAGACTTTCAAATAATACAGTTTTGTCCAAATTTTCAATAAATTTGGCCCAAAATTTAGGTGGCCGTTAATATTTATGGGGACGGGTAAAGAGAGAGTCTAATATAGTTCCATGAATAGGGATTTTTGGGGGCATGAATCCATTTTTTTTAATATGAAAATATTAGGATAAGCCAATGATCCTATTTTGTGGTCTTATTTTTTTTTCTTCTGAAAAATTTTCACATTTTTATAATTGTTTTTAGATTTTATAAATAAATGATGTGGAGGTCACACCATAACCTAAAACTCTCTATCCATACTGTCAATATTAAAGGTCACCCACAAATTTGGACCAAATTTGTCCATTTTTATCAAACTTCGAACAAAGCTGACTTATTTGAAAGTTCGGGCCAAAATTGTCTTTTACGTCAAGTTCATATGCCAAAATAAGATATTATCCCTATAACGTGTAAACCATGTCGCAGTCGCAACCACCTCAGCATTGTTTGTTGAATCATGGGCGAATAAATTTTTGACTATTAATATTAACGATCAACCTAAATTTAAGTCCAAATTTATCCATTTCTTTCAAAATTATGAAAAACTATTTTATGTTCAAGTTCATGTCAATTGTCGTTTACGTTAAACTTCATGGCCAAGATAAAGTATTATCCATACTAGCTTTTTACCCGACCCGTTGGCCGGTGAGTTTCATTTTATCATTTACATTAATCAATTTATCTATATGTTTAAACTATTTTGGATCTTCTAAATTTTTTACATTTGCATTCATACATGAGTAAGCGGTGCGTTTATAAATTAAAATTTTTCAATACTTAGCACATTCACTTATGATGCTTCGATTCTCTGATCATATATCATGTCACAAAGATATATCAAGTCCCATAGAGAATCTTATGTCAAGATTTGTCAACATTGATACTCAATTTTTTTCTATCTTATACAATATTTGCCATTCAATGAATCTCGAGTTTGGACGAACTCTCAGCCAATGATGTTGCTCAGGTGACGACAACTTAGTTAGAATTTTTTTTATTAAGGTACTTCAATATTAGATAAATTTGGTCATCCCAATTGAAAGTTTACTGTCTTAGAGTAAGATCATATTTGTTGATCAAGACATTCAATTTAATATCTTATACAATATGTACCAATTTTTAATTTCTTAAGTTTAATTTAGACTCACCCTCAACTCATGGTCGTTGTTTAGATGTTGGTTTGAAAACTCGGTCCAAGGTACTCACAAACTTTCGAGGGTTCTAATGTTAACATGGTCCATTGGTGTATAATTTTCTAACTTATCACATATGCATTTGCTAAAATTTATTTATCATTGGTATTTGTTTTGAGATAAAAATTCCATTACTTATACTAATATCTTCATTTTGTTGGTGTAATGCCACATCTATTGTCAATATCTAAGCATGATATTATACTCTAAGTAAGAAAATGCTATTTGGACCATGAATTAACCGGATTTGTGAGCATGATACTATACCCCAACCCCTGATGAGTGAACCCTAGATCATAGTTATCTAAATCATAGAGCTTAACCCGTAAGATTGTGCATGTAATTTGTTGCATATATATTGACGAATCATGACCGTGTTTTTTGTTTATAATAAAATTGATCTTAGGATATGATATTTATAAATTTAAGACCTAGATTTTAATCTTTAAGGGTTTGAGAATAATACCATTGCCAAACTCCAGTCAATTCAAGGTCTAGATATCATTTTCTTACTCAAGGTATGTCATAATATACATATATATAAATATAAAGAGTTTAATGTATTTTTAAGTGTAATTAACACATTTGTTTGACCGAAATATGTAAACTGTTAGGAGAAATAAGGGGAAATATGAACAAATGTAAGAGAAAATAAGGTATGGAAGCATGCACTATAAGAGGAGAGAAAAGTTGTCTTTCTTTTTCGTCTTCATTTGTACAATCAGGTACTATGTTATGGCTTCATCAAGTTTCTATGAAATGAAAAACAAATTTTGAAGCATTTTGCTATTTAATACTTGTTTCGTTGATAGATACAAACATTAGAAAAAGATAGTGTTTGATAACCAAAACATAAAATTATATAGTTAGTTTTCAAATTAAACTGATTATTAAATGTTGATTATCTAAACTTCGTTCATTATATTTTGTTTTCAAAAAATTATTATTACTTATCTGTGAGTATAATTTAATATTTATCAAAATATAACCAATATTAAGTTCTAGTAAAAATAAAAAAAATATTAATTGATCAGATTTAATCAAATATATTTTTTAAAGGATTACAATATATGTCACTCTCCAAACATAAGAATATTGTTGCTACTCATATATATAGCAAAAAAAAAAATATTGAATAAAAAAAACATTAAAAGAAGATAGAGATGGCTACATAAATGATCATTAAAATAAAAAGAAAATATTAAAAGAAGATAGATATAGCTACATTAATTGATCATTAACTTAACTTTTTTATTTGTAAAAAAAAAGTGTCCACCATGGCACCTTGTGAATTCTCCAAATGCTTATGTGGCAACAAACTACTTTTGAATTTCCATAATATTATGTATAGATAGATAGATAGATAGATTATTTATGGTCAACTACCAATCAATGTAGTCAGTCAAAGTGTCAGCAACACTGACAAAGACAAACATATATAACTCAAAATTAGTTACACTCAGCCTCAGTTTGAAGCTCTCTTCTTCAGAACCCCAACTATTTTCTAGGCATCTTCGAGGACAACGGACTAACTACTTCCCCAACTAGTCGGGCCTTAATTCTACTATCTATGAAGAGGGATAATATTATGCGTACCTATTAGACATCAATTAGGGGTCATTATGTATGTTTTAGGGGAAGCAATACTAATTTTGAAAATTAATTAATATTTATGTTTTCCTTTTATTCTTTGAACAATTGTATTTCTTTCTTCAATCGTATGTCTTATCTTTTTATTATATTGTTAGCATGTTATATGTACATATTTTTGTCTTAACTTTCTCGGCCAAGGGGGCGGGCCTGGTGCTAGTTGTTGTGAAATTATGAGTTTCATGGAATAGGAAAATCAAAGATGAAGTGAAAGTGGTTTTAGTATTTACGCAATAACTTTAGCAAAATTGTATTTTTTACTGCGTGCAATTAGATCGTATTTGTCATGGAGCAAAATTGTATTTTCTTTACAGTG